CTGTAATCCCAGCACTTTGGGAGGCCGAGGCAGGCAGATCACCTGAGGTCGGGAGTTCGAGACCAGCCTGACCAACATGGAGAAACCCCATCTCCACTGAAAATACAAAATTAGCCAGGCGTGGTGGCTCACGCCTGTAATCCAAGCACTTTGGGAGGCCGAGGCAGGCAGATCACCTGGGTCAGGAGTTTGAGATCAGCCTGACCAACATGCAGAAACCCCATCTCTACTAAAAATGCAAAAAATTAGCCAGGCATGGTGGTACGCATCTGTGGTCCCAGCTACTCAGGAGGCTGAGGCAGGAGAATCACTTGAACCCGGGAGGCAGAGGGTGCGGCGAGCAGAGATCACGCCATTGCACTCCAGCCTGGGCAACAAGAGCAAAACTCCATCTCAAAAAAAAAAAAAAAAAAAAAAAATAGGCCAGGTGCGGTGGCTCAAGCCTGTAATCCCAGCTACTTGGGAGGCTGGGGCAGGAGAATCACTTGAACCTGGGAGGTGGCGGGGGTGGTGGTGTGGTGCAGTGAGCCAAGATTGTGCCACTGCACTCCAGCCTGGGCGACAAGAGCAAAACTCTGTCTAAAAACAAACAAACAAACTCCAAAAATTAGCCAGGCATGGTGATGCACATCTGTGGTCCCAGCTACTTGGGCAGCTGAGACGGGAGGATTGCTTAAGCCTAGGGGTAGGAGGAGATTGCAGTGAGCTGAGATTGCACCACTGCACTTCAGCCTGGGTGACAAAGCGAGACCCTGTCTCAAAACAAATGAGTAAAAACCACATGAATGAAGGACGAGCTAGGAACAATCTTCATACCAGTTAGGATCTGAGTCCTAAGTACACTAGGCTGCCTTGGCACTCTTGGAGGAAGCCCTGCCCATCTAGGCCCTTCATGACAAGCCAAGCCTCAGGCAGAGAAGCGAATCGAACAGGAGAAAATGCGCACCAGCGGCAGCTTTGTGCAGGGAGGTGGGACCAGCAGGGGGCAGGGACTCTCGGGTGGTCTTGTTGCAGTGGTCTTGTTGCGGTGGTTGTGTTGCGGTAAGGGTGCTTGGGCACACTAACATGTCGACTGCACTGACTTGTGCACTCCAGGCCTGCGCATTCTACTGCATGTACCACACCCCACGGAAAAAGAAAAGCCATCTGCAGGCCTAGGGCAGTCCTCTCATGCTGGGCCTTCTGTGCTCGCCCCCAACCTCCTACAACCCTGCACCCCACTCCCGTCTGCCTGTGGACCCAGCTCTGCTCTGATGAGCTGTGACAGCTCAGGCAAGCTCCTCAGTGTCCCTATGTCTCAGTGGACATGGTGCCAACCTCCAAGATGAAATGAGTGGAGGGATGTCAAGGCCTAAGGGCAAACCCTGGCATAGGATGAGTACTTAACTACTGACCACTAACGTCACTGCCCAACAAAATCAGGAGCGGTGATGACAGATTCCTAGCATAAAATGACCTGCTGTGACGGTCCTCAGGCAATACCATAAGAACAAACTCACATGAACGTCTGCTATCTAGTAATATTTGGATTTGGGATTTTTAAAGCTTTCGAACATGAAAGATACAAAGAAGCCTGAGTTCACCTTAACTCTCTCGAGCTTCGGACTTACCCTTGTTTGTGCAACAGGTCATTTAAAAAGAACACAACTGAAAGACTTAACTCCAGTCTTGGTTGGATTTGGGGATCCGGTCCTATTTTCCCACTGATGCTGTTGAGCAAAGTTTCAAAGAGCAGGCTGGGCACTCTCACCTGCGCCCCTGGTCCGGGGAGCCCATGCATCCTCAGGGCCTGCACGGCCTGGTCTCGTTCCAGGGTCACGGCCTTCAGCACCACCTCCTGCTCCCGTAGCGCCCTCTCTGTCTCCTGCAGCTTGGCAGCAACCTGGGAACAATGCTGGGACTCAGTCCCTGTGTGGATGACGGGGCAGCTCCCACGCCTGCTGAGGCTCCAACAGCACACATAGGTGGGAGATGCTCAGAGCACCAGGCTCCCCACTGTGGCCAGGCCGCCAAACCCTTCCTGCCACCCACACCCCTGGCTGTCCTTGTAGGCCAGCGGGGATCATGGGATCATGCAATGCTACTTAAACCCGAGGCTGGCCAGCTACAGAAACCGCTTATGCAAGAAAGTCAAGGTGGGTGCACGGGCGGGGCGCATTTTTATTACTGTAATTTTTGTTGCTACACAGCATACTGCTCAGTGAGGTTTAGTGTTTTCAAATTTAAAGAACCATTTGGTGAGAACCAGACCCGTCCTGCCCAGCCCCACCTCTGCAGAGGCGCAGAGAAGGCCCCAGACCCTGGTGGCCGCACACACCTGACTTTTTGCCGTGGTCAGACCCTGAATCAGGGCCTCTGACTTTTGGATCTGGTCCCTTTCAATGTCGTCACAGCGGCGCTGCCAGTCCAGGCCCAGCTGCACCTGATCACGCTCCAGGCTCCGCTCCCTTTCCACCGCCAGGGACAGCTGTTGCTTGTACCTAAGGACACGTCCAACCGCCCAGCATTAATGCTTCCCGAGGAGGAAGCATTCCACAGGAAAAGTGGAGGCGCGACGGGAAAGGCAGGGCTGCTGCTGTCCCTCCTGCTCTCGCACGGCCTGCACTGGCCTGACGTGCTCTGGGTTCCTGTGGATGGGCACACGGGGGTGCCCAATACGAAGATGAGCAGGCGCCAAGGATGGCTGGACGCCGGAGAAAACCTAACACCCTGGAGGAGGGGGATGGATGAGGGGGATGCGCACAAAAACAGAAGAACCAGCACGCGGGAAGAGAGGGAGGAAAGCAACAACCTTAAAACATCATAAACTGGTTATGCACAAAGGAACGGAGCTACGAAAGCAAAAGCAGAGCAGGGTGGACCCAGCCATGGGGCGGGCAGGGCTGGGAGAGCCCCTGGAGCGAGCACAAAGGGACAGAGGGGTGGGAACACAGGAACCCGGGGGCTTCCTCCAGAAGACCAGCATCTTAGATCAGAACGGAGGGAGGAAGCCACCCAGGATGGAAAGGGGCAGGTCCACCAGGGCGGGGCGGGTCCACCAGGGCGGGGCGGGTCCACCAGGATGGGGCAGGTCCACCAGGACAGAGCAGACGCCAGCCTTCAGAGAGCTCTAGAGACCCCACACGCACACAGTAAGGGGAAACGTCACAGTACGAAGGACAAAAGAAAAGTCTACAGGGGAAGAAGAACAAAAACTGGACAGGGACTAGGCCTGACACCAGCAACTCTGGGACAGAAGGCCGTGGGGCCACACACTGGGGGCAGAATTCCAGGCTGTGGGTGATCCTGTGGCGGGGAGAGGTCCCTCCTGTCCGAGGCAGTGACGCAGAGACGGTGGCAAGGCTCTGCATGGGAGGGAGGCTCTCCTGCTGGCCTCATCGCACCGGTAAACTTCAGGGAGTTTGAATGATAGCAATGGAGCCATCATGTTGTGAGAGGGTCCCTGGAGGGGCTGTGTGGCCAGGGCTGAGGACGCCTTTAGGGTGGAGAGTGCCCTGGCTGTCAGCCAGCGAGGGAATGGAGGCCTCGGCCCCACAGCTGCAGGGACTGAATTCTGCCAACAGCTGGGTGAGTCTGGAAGGGCCCCTGGGCCTCCAAGGAGAGGCAGGCCCGGCCATCATTGATTCTAGCCTGGAGAGACCCTGAGCCGGGAACGGCTGAGCCCTGCCTAGGCCCTCGCCCCAGAACCTGAGATAATAAATGGGTGTTTAAAGTAGCTAAGCTGCTAAGTTTGTGGTAATTTATACACAATGTGTTCTTGTTTTTGTTTAATTATTTTTATGGGGTTTTTTTTGTTGTTGTTGTTTTTTTTATACAGAGTCTTGCTCTGTCACCCAAGCTGGAGTGCAGTGGCGTGATCTTGGCTCAGTACAGCCTCTACCTCCTGGGCTCCAGCAGTCCTCCTGCCTCAGCC